GATAAGAGGCGGATGAACCTGACTTCTGTGAAGAGGGTGGATCCGTACACCTCGGAGCTCATCGATACGGCGTCTCACGTCGCTTTATACGTCTTCGTCAACAATCAATGGGTAACGTCTTAAGATCTAGATGGATCTGGGCCTAGCCATCCGTTCCGGATGGTTTTGTTTTCTATCGAACAACAAGTTGCCGTTCGAGTGTGTAGCCTAACGTTAGGTCTACGATGGGCCTCTATCTGACGTTAGGCCTAATTTTGCAGCGAAAGTGAGCAATCTGGCTTCCACCGTTGGTTTTTCACTCGATGCTCGGTTTTGGGTGGCTGAAAGCACATTGAGAGGGCAATCAACAGGCCAAGCGTAAAGCCTGACGTTTCGGTTGGCAATGAGTCAGCTAATCTGAACTGTTCACTTCATTTTACTTATAGAAATGGTTACTCTTGCTTAAAAAGATGAACACAGTAATGACTGCCTTTCCATGGAATATGAGATTAGCCTACCCGTATTTCCCCGTAGGCCTAAGCTCGATAGAGTTCCGAAATATTGCATCGCCCGAGGCTTGATATGTGTGTCCCGGTTAAGCCATTGCCCTAAGGGTTCTTCTCTGACTCCTTTTGTGACCTTCGTGCATTCTTGAATGGAAATGAGTATCCAAGGTCAAGATTTTCTTGCATCCATTAGGGGAAGATGGTCATTTACGTAGACCCTCAATTGTTTATGCGAATGATCTCCGACAGGCAGGATGAAGACTCTCAGACAGTACAGAAATGGAAGAAACAAAGCTAGAAATACTTTTGGGTTTCTTTTGGCTAAATCTTCATGCAAAATAGGATTACCAATGATGTATAAGGTGGGCCAATAATCCATTACTCAATTAACATTTTGTGTGCATAATAATAACTTAATAAACATTTATTAAACCAAAAATTCATATTAAATCATATTATTCTGGCTGATCTGTGTGTGCCCCATCATCTTTGAGGCAAATTTGAATTCTGCACCAGGTCCTATGGAACACTTTTGTAATTATCTCCTCATCAGCAGTGCATGAAATTAAATGAATGAATCAGCAGTGCATGAAAGTAAAGAGGCTTTTGGCCTTCCAAGTTGTATATGATCAATTTCATTCCTTTGTTAGGGTCTATACCACAATTTGAGAAAGTTGGCAGTGTGGGTTATAATCAATGCTCAATGACTTTAGTAGGATTTAGTTTGGTATGAAAGAAAAAAGTATTTTCACAGTTTATGTGCAGGATTCCAGCTGCATTCCTTACTAGTGAGCTTAGCTTATAGTTAGACGAAATCAGAATCAAAGCCTAAATCGTGTAGATCACTTCTTACATTGTTTTCCTGTTTTTGTGCTTGGATTTTGAGGCTTTGAGTAATTTTTTCTCTTTCTGTCTGCTTTCAGGAGAAGACAGATATAGAAGGAGCTCTCTTCATCTATGAAAGGTGAGTTTTACTTAGTGGCTACAGGTTTTTTACTTTTTTTTTCTTTTCTAAGGGATATCTATGATTTCTGAGGGCATTATTTCAAGAGCCTCATTAAAATGTGGGTTATTTTTTCTTGTTGATCTCAGCTAATTTTTCATGAGGAATTCTCATGCATGGAGAAACGATTAATTCACTTTAACTCTCCCACTCTCAATGGCATAGTTTATGAGGAAGAGACAGCATGGAGAAGTAATTTTGCATAATACATGCATGAAGAGCTCAGAAGTTTCTTTCTGATATGTCAAAAGCGGATTCTTACATGGAATGCAAACTGAGGAGAACTTGACAGTGGAGGCATTGAATATCCCCACTTGCCACTGCAGGGACTGATCTAAATATAGCCCTAAGGAGTGAGGGCTGACTAACTGCTTCTCTGTCTGATTTGCATGGACTGACTCATTTCCTGAACTATGACCCACATCTGTGGAATGAAAAATATTTTGTTGTGTCTTGGGTAGAGTAGGTCTACTAGAATAGAGTAGACCTGCTTATCTGGCTTTAAATTCTCTGGGGATAATGTTTTGGCAAGGGTGGCTTTAAGTCATCTCCATACTTATGATATAATTAGGTATGGATAAGCTTCTTTCTCTTGAAAAGGTTCTTAAATGTAAAAAGAGAGCTCTCTATTCATTGCTGAGCAATCCTTTAGTCCTCTGTGAGTCATTTTCTGAGTAGGGAGTGTCTTGAAACATATGGGGAATAGAATGGAAAATGGCAGGAAATGAGACAATGGGAAATTGGCATTAAAACCACCCAGTTTCTTTTTGCATCGCTTTCCCCACTTCCTGCCTTTCACGACCTATCTCCTTGCCACACTTGACTAGTTCTGGGACTTGTGCCAGCCACACAAATATCCCCAAAACACAGGGGGAGCTATGGTGGGCCAGAATCATTACTTTCTGAGTTGTCTGGCAACTGTGCTGTTTACCTCTGGTAACCCTTTGCACACATTGTAGGATCAAGAATTTTATTTATCATCCCAAGGAAGATAATTGCTACATTCCAGATTTCTCTTTTGCTTATAATTGATAACTTGGGAGTCCTTTCATTTAGATATTTGAAAAGAGGAAACATTAAGATGGGCACAAGTTTCATGGTGCATTGGCTGTTTTTCTCCTGTGGCTCTGGAAGATTTTGTTGTTTTCTATTTGCTGAATTTAGAGGTAATTTTTTTTTCTTTACAAACACCATATTGTGACAATTTTTTTTTTTACCACCTTTTATATAAGTATGTATTATTTAAAATTGTCTGATGCAAATGAAAAAACTAGAGTAAATAGTGTTTGGATAGGGAAGAAGACAGATATGAGTGTTGTGCCAGACATTCATAAACTCATAAATTACTTTGAGGTTGTGAGGCTGATCTCTTTTGCTGTTTGTTGAACAGATGTCATGAGACATGCTTGCATCACATCTTGATGTGGCATTTGAAATGAACACGAGGATTGAGATGTTCCTATAAAGAGGACCTCAATGCAAGTTTTCTCTGAAAGTATTTGAGAAAAAGTTGCTTCAAAGGCAAAGTTTTTTTTTTAATTCTCTAGATGTAATTGTTTCTGTTTCTGTATACAATCTTAGATGAATAAATTTTTGCCAAAATTCAATATTTATTAATTTTTATTATTACCTCTCATGCTGCTCCCATCATCCCCCTTCCCACTCCTGCTCACTTTCCTTTTTCCCCTCTGGTGAACTGCATTGATTTTCTGCTGGACTTATTTTTTTCTTTTCAAAAGGAGATTTATGATTATTTCATGACAGCTTATTGCCATGATAGGCTCTAGCATTCCCAGACTGAATTTGAGATGCAAGAGTCACAGGGGGGTAATTCCTCCAAGTAGGGATATTGGAAATCATCCATTTTGCCTTTATTGCTTCATAGGGATACAAGGACAGTCTTACTCCATAAAATAGAGCTGACAAAATTCAAAGGAGCTTTTGAAAGAAGGGTCCTGAGTCCTTGATTGGAATCCTTTTCTGAGGGGGTGCCTCATTTTATCATCGACTGCAGGTAGAGATGGCTGTTCCATTCAGCCCTTCATACAGTCATAAAATGAGGCAAAATTTAGTGAGATGATTAATCTCAGATTGGAGATTTATCTGACATTGACTGAAAAGCAATTGTACAGTGAAGTTGCCTTGTGCTTGATTAAAATGAGGTGTGGTATGAAAAGCAAAATTCCTGGACCTAGAGTCAGGTCCAGAGATATTGACCAAAGCTTTATGCTAACAGACAGGTGGACATCTGGCTAATGGCAAAAGGAGCTTTGCTGAAGAGGAGTCTTGCTCCATAAGTAATGATAAGGGGAGTGGGTCTGGATCTATTTCCTGCCCTATCCTGCTTATCCTCTATGTCCTGTCACCTCACAGCAAGGAGAGAACTTTTGTTAGGACTCGGTCTCCTGATTGAGGGCTGCACTGACTTGTTAGGCTGTGAAGGAATGAGAAAGAGTCCTCTCACTGGATTGATATATGGGAATTGTATAGGCATTTGAAGTTTTTTTTTTTTGGCAAACATCAATAGATAGGGCAGGTTGTCATTTTCCTTGCATTGCTCTTCTCAGAGACTTTAGGAGTCTTCTCATTGTCTTCAAGTTTCCTCCCTGTCTCCTTTCTTATCCTGAGAAGTTACAGATAGGTTATTCCTTGTAAATTTGCCCATTAAAGAATGTTGCATGCTGACCTCTATGAGTTGCTTATGGATACGTTTTATGGTAGATGTTGCTCTTGGGATCCCCTTGAACTTGGTTGTCTGTAAATGTGTGCAATATGGATGATGCAAGTATGAATTTAAAAAGTATTACATGCAGACATGTGGTGGAGTGTCCTTGCCTCATGTTGTAATGTGCCTTTGCTGCATTTGGAAGTTTATGTCTTGATGAATTAGCCAGGTTGCTTGGGTAAACAAAATGCCCTCAACTAAGAATGCACAGGAACCCTCACTTGCAGATTATTGAAAAGTGACAAATCTTGGCAGTGTGAGATATTGCATGAATTATATTGGCATATGATTTAGTGTTATGGTTTTCATGGGAGATGAGAAAAATTAAGCACAGAAGTTAACCTCTACATAAGTTTCCATCGCTAGAAATTTTCCTGTCACCTGAATAGCATAGTCCTCTCTTGAACTCGGTATGTTTTTTTGATTGTAATTCCCCTCTGTTGCAGAAGCAGCGGAGAATAAGTTAGAACCTGCTGTGACTGAGGGTGCTTGGTCAAGGCCTTCCTTATGTAAGAATGGAAAGAGGACAGGGCAATTGCATGTGTTGCTGCTCATTCTCTCTCTCCCTTTCCCTCTCCTCCCCCCTCCCTCCCCCTCCTCATGGACTGCTGCCCAAGCATGAGCTATTTTTGAAACTTGTGTCTTCATATGTCGCCCATCCTCCCCACCTTCTCCCCAGTCTTCCTCTTTCCCTTCCCCCTTTTGTCACCTGTCGTGCCAGTCTCTGGCCTTGAGCTTGAAACTCAATTTTTTTTTTCATTACTTGCTGCATCTATGTATTATTAAATGGTATATTCTTGCCAATAAAATCAAAACCAGAGTGTAATGAACTCAGAGCACTTTTGAGTATTGGTTTCCAGCTCAATAAGGAAACCACTGATTTGATTTGCAACTGATTTGATATATATGTTCCCAAAGTATTGAAACCACTCTGAAAGTGGTTTCATGGTCACAAGAGTTCCATCTGTAGTAGCTTGATAGCCTGAGCCTTGATCTTTTTCAGAAGATAGATATGTATCTCGTGAGGATTTTCAGGAACTAGGCTTGAGATGAAGGTCATATGATGATGAGTTGTGCTGGGGCAACTTTCAGGTTTTTGGCATTGGCAATTTCATGCTATCAGTCATGTAATTGTCATTGGTGAAAATCCAGAATGGTTATTCCTGTGGCATGGTGTCCATTGCACTGATAACCCTTAATGATCAGATAAATATTTGCTTTACAGAGACGGGGCTCCTTTCCACAATTTTGTAATCATCAATCGCCTAAACACGACAAATAAGATTGAACCTGTGACCAAGGACCTTGAGTGTCAAACTCAGTCACCCTTTCTCCTCTACAAAAACAGTCAAGGTAAGTTACTGCAAGAGCCTCTTTATGGTCTGTATAGTCTATCTATTTGCAATTTTTTTTTAAGTTGGTCTACATTTTGAAAAACGAGGAAGGAGTACTTGTCTTTGTATTTAATCCAGCCATGGAGTATGTATTACGTGTCATATCCCAAAGCTTGTTTTCCTTTTGACTATCTTCTGATTTATTTTTCATTCTGCCTTGTTTTATAGGGCAAATCTATGGGATTTGGTTCTGGGAAGTAAGCGAGTGCGAGAGAATCGGTCGTCTTCTGGCCCAGATCTTGCAGAATCTGAACAAAAACTCTATGGATGGGAAGAAACAATTTGGTGAGGGGAGTCAGCCTCATGGAAAAATGGACATACTCTCCCTTCTTCACAAGGCTAAAGGAGAGTATGAAAAGGTCTGTCTCTTCCCTCAAATTATTGCTTGCTTCCATGCAGAACATCATCAAGTGACAGCATTCTTAAATGGAATGGAACAGATGATTGCATGGCTTTCATGCTGGAAAGCTTGAAATTCTGCATGAAAAATTGGCTTGGTAGGAAGTGGTGAAATTCAAGGAACAGATTTGGCATGGCAGCTTGAGAATTGCCATCTGAATCAGGATGAGAGTGTGCCTTATTTCCCCCCCCCCCCTTTTTTTTTTTCAACTTGACTTTGAATGATTCCAGATGCTGGAATCATGCCAGAGATGTTTCCTGCTCCCCGCCCCTGCACAGAATTCTGAGAATTTTCTTGCTTGTTCTATAGCTCACAGATGTGAACAATAGGAAAAGGGAATGCAATTCTCAGAAAGTCTACCTCTAAGTGGCTTTTTGCATGTAGCCTGTCACTTCTAACAAGCTATTGCTGCTTGTCTTAGGAGCTGTTACTCTACCTATCTATGTTGAAATGAAGAATAAGTGAAAGAAAAGTGTTTATTTTTAATGTCTTGCTCCAGAAGCTAGTGGTGGGAGGAGGTGGAGGCGAGAAGCAGCCGACCGGTCGATTGGTTCGGCCCCAGCCAGTTCATGTTGGGATGGGGAAGGCAAGTCCTGGATCTGGGACAACTCTAACTGTGGAGGACTTCTTTGCCAAGGCTTCTGGAGCAACTGTCCCCCATATTCCCAAGCCTGCCATTAGTCCAGCTGCTTCTCATACTCCAAATGTCAGTTTCTAATCTTCTTCTTCCTGTTTGTGTTGTGAAGAACATATCCTGTATGCCACTTATAATGGAAAGATGTGCTTTCTTAGCTAAAAGATAGCAGTGAAAAATCTTGGCTTGGAGATCTATCAATCTTGGGTCCCCCCACATATGAACTCATTCATTTTCTTGCTGGAGAGATTTGAATTTCTCTGATAAGGAAAATGTTGCACAAAATATAGAAGGACGTGTGTGACTTTTATTGCACACGTCCTAATTGACAAGATATAATTTTCCCATGGAGCCTACCATGTTCTACTCCTTGAGAATCTACAATTTCAAATACTTTAGAAAAATTAATGTTTTCCCTCTTCTGCTCTCATCAATCCAGAATACTCAAAATTTGAAAGCAAAAAAACTACTAAACTTCTAAAACCACTTCTGGTCCATAGTTACAACTTTCAAAATTTCTTTGTTTGCAAAAGTATGTAGTCTGATGTATATACCTGTATGCAATATGCTAGGAGAGCTTTACAGCTTGCTGTCAAATTTTTTTCATACTTCTTGGTGAGATGTTGACATTATGTTATGGAGGCAAGGAAGCATGTTTTTGTAATAACTGTCATCACCATCATCACAGTGCCTTCTAGTTAGAATGATGCTGATTAATGTGTTGCCTAGTCTGGTCCTTGTTCAGCTTTGAGAAAGAACAAATGTTAGTATCCCGATGTTTTCCTTTTAGACGAAACCTGTCATGAGTGCGTCTTGTACGTCATAGGTGAAGGTCCCGATACGCAGCCCAGGAGGAGGAGAGGTGCTCCAGAGGGTTCTGTCGAACCCGGCTCATTGCGTCGAGCACATCGAGAGGCTCCAGAGAAACGAGCCTCCCGCGGCCGCTGGCTTGGAAAAGGACCTGAGAGACTCGCTCCACCTGGAACCACCTCCTGCCAAGGCAAAGAATGAAGTAGTCTCCCTACAGGAACTCTTTGACACTGTCCCTAAGGACACCCTCACTCCTCCTCCCCCTACCCCGTTATCTGCTGCTAAAGAGGAAGATCTTATGGAGGTATTTTTTTTTAAGAACTTGGACTTGTTTTGTCAATAGGAGTAGCCTGGAAAGGTTTTATATGTATCATTCTTACCCTTCCTCGACTCAGTTTGGCACGTGCACGTCTCCCGTCGTGAGGAGCTCGGAAGTGACCACGCCCACGCAGCGCAGTTCCAACGTGGTTCTCATGTCTCCCATGATGTTCACCTCATCCAAGGACTCCAAGGACATTCCCCAACCGGTATGTCTCACCTGTCCCACCTTCAAATCACAGAGTAGTCTTTTCAAGTGGCTGCATGGCTCTGGTTCTCTTTTATCCTTATTTTCAGCCCAGCGGAAACGGGAATGCATCCTCGGTGCAGTCGTCCTCTGGCGAATGGAACGGCTGGGGAGATTCGGACGTCACCCCGCTGACCAAAAATCAGTTGCTCCAGGCATTAGAATACCTCTTGAAGGTCTGTTCTTGCTTTGGTTTTCCTCCTTTGTCATGTTGCCGTAGGGAATGGGGAGGCACTCGAGGCTTTACGATCCGAGTCGAGCGGTGATGTTGCTATGGCCGTTGTCTTGCTTATCCCAATATTCCCTATGCTTGGAAGGAGATATTTTTATCCATAGCTTTGCTCTCTTGCATTAGTGCTGATATTCTTATGTAAACTGGGAAGCTCTTGATTCTTTGAATGGCAATACTGCAGTCGATACAGGTTTGCAGATGAGCGTAGTAATGCCAAGACTGACATAAAATGAAAAAGGGTTAATTGAAAGTGGGTGATGAGATGAAATGGACTATTGGAAAACTCCCTGTGGAATCTCATAATTCGATGGAGCATAAATATACACAAGGGGAGCCATGTGTAAGCTGATGAGGCACATGGCTCTGTTATGCAAGAGCACAGACATGCTGAGAAAGATAGGCCAGAAGTTCTCCCTCTTCATTAGTTATTAGGGGTGTTGATATTTTCCCTGCAAAGAGCTATGGTGGCATAGGATTGTGATCCTTCGTAACTTGCTTTCTGATCTGAGAGTCCACATAACATCTTGGACAAATGTAGTATGTGAGAAGTTTGATTCCCATGCCCCAGAAAAGGGTTAAGCTGGAATGGAATTGACTCCCTTATGAGTGTACATAGATATATACACTGTATATAGTACTTGTCGGGTGTCTGCGAGATCTCGGCTTCCCGCTAAGAGAGGTGACGCGTTGAAACACGAGCCTTTGGAGCGTGGTTCGCTTCGTGACTCTTGTTCGGGTGAACAAGTATAGACTTGTATTAGAATGTTTAAATGTACCTGAGAGACTGAAAAGTGTTGGAGGGTACAAATTTTCGTCTCAATTTTGAGCAGGCCACGATGAATGAAAGAGGCTAAAATTCTATGGTAAGGAACTTGGATGCAATTAAATTCTCCTTGAAGCAAAATTAGTTTCAGCCTTATACCTGGTGGAATGCCCATATCATCCGGCTTATCGTGAATGTCCCCTTCTAAATGTTTGCTTCACGTGACAGAATAGCCCTATTGACAGGAGTCAATAGGGCTACCATGCTAGTTGAACTCTTGCATCTTGTATGTTTTTAGTTTGTTCATGAATGCTGCTGATTGTTTGAGACTTGAAGGGGGGGGGGGAGAAATTGGAAGCAGCTCTACATGATGTTTGAACTCAAAATTTACTTGGGTTAGGATGGATTTCCCTTATGACCGTATGAAATTTGGACTTGAGAATTATGAAAAATTCTTAGGTTAGACTGCTTTGAGTGACAGCATTCGGTATTGAAAAAAAAAAAAAAAACCTTTCTCGGTTCTTGTGCTTCGGGCATTACCTCTCTCGTACCCTTCTCATCGAGCGACGAAACCAAAGATGACCCTGACCGATTTGTTTCTCCCTCAGAACGACGTCGACTTCGTCGCGAAGCTGCACGAGGCTTATGTGAAGAGCCTGAACGCACGAACTCTCCAGAAATTGTGACGTCGGTGAACCGCAGCAGCCCGAGCGCACTGTGATGATGGGATTCCGGAGTGGACTTTGACTGATGGTTCTGTTTTGCCGGCCAGACCGAAAGAAAGACTCGTTGCATTTGGTCCTTCTCGTTTCCTCATTTCGAGTTTGTCGCATCGCCACGAAGTGAATCTCGCCCGAAAGGTGTCGCGTGGGACCGAATTCGGGGTCGTGCTTTTTGCTGCTGGACAGTACGTCGAGGCGAGTTTCTTTTTTTTTTTTGTCCCTTTTGTTTTGTATCCCGTGATGTTTTGCAGCTGCGGTTGCCGTTCTCCGACCCTCGAACGACTCTGTTGCGGCCGGTAACGGTCGGTGACACTCGGATTGCATTTCCGGGAGAAGCGCCCGAACGGCCTTCACTTTTCTCTCTTTTCGACTTCTGTGACTTCGAAGCGTCCTCTGGCGGATCGGAAGGTGGTGGAATCCTGTGATGTAGAATAAAAGTCCTATCCCCGGTTTGGGTTTCCGTGCACTTATGGACGATTCGCCTGCAAGGGCGACTGGCGCTCTAAGGGAACCTTCCCACGTTTGATGTAAATTATTCGGCGTGAAGCGTTCGTGTGCGTGACTTACGGGGTCATTTAGGGTTAACTTGGCCGTGGGAGACGAAGCGCGTACTCCAAGCAGAGATGCATGTACATCGACCTCATTTTTTCATCAAGCAATATGTAAATGATGCGTATCCCCCCCCCCCCCCCCCCCCACCTCACATCGTACCGAGCTAACTCCCACAGAACCATTAAGTACACGCTCCATTACCTGCACCTGGATGTGAAAGTGACCGAGGCGAGTCCCACCCCCTCCGACTCGTAAAGCCTTTTGAGCCTCTGGAAAGACAGCGGCGAAATTCCTCTAGACCCTGCCCGATCCTTGCCTTCGCCCATTAAAGTACACCGGTCCATTGAAGTACGCTCTAGGTACCTGACGATGCAAGATCCGGGTGTCACCCACCGAGACTCAACGTAGTCTGCGTCGTTTCTACCGTCCGCATGAAATGTTCTGGCTTGCAGAAAGACTCGTGTCCCCATCCCCGGGGAAGTTCGTGCTGCATGACTCGCGAGTCGCGACTGAGTGTCTCGATCACGAGGGACTGTGAGGATTCTAATAGTTAAGAAGTAAGTACTTCGAAACCTCTTCTGACGTGCGGGGGCAAGAGATGGGTATCTCCCCGTTTATTTGCAAAGCAACAGAGCATAGACGTGCAAGAGCAGGAACGAGAGCGACATCCTCGCAGAAGGAAGTAACACGCCCAGCGGCGTGACGAGCTTGCAGGGATCGAGGGGAGGGAGGGAGAGGTGTGGAGGTGGAGGTGGCTCCCTCGGTCACGCCGCTGGAGGGTGCGGGGGGAGGTGGAGGTGGAGGTGGCTCCCTCGGTCACGCCGCTGGAGGGTGCGGGGGGAGGTCTAGGTGCAGATGCAGATGTGATTGCAGCGCTCGTTGGTTGGGTTCCGGCAGCACGGGGGGCAGAGGACCTCGTCGTAGGGAGCGGCCTCCAGCACGTGCGCTGATGCCAGCAGCGTCATCAGCACGGTCCATAGCAGTGCCCACAGCCTCATCTTTTGGCGATCGTCTGTCGGTGCGAAAGGAGAAGTGGAGGTGACTCGGAGGTCGTGACGTAAACGTTAAAAATTGACGAAGGCGACAGGTGCGTCTCGATCCTGTCGTTGAAAAAGGATGAAATGGGAGCGCGCGAGATCCCCGCCCCTCGCCGATGCTAAATCCTACTGGTAAACCTACGTCGATTGTCGATTTGCAGAAGTGAAAACCTCCCAGAGGTGCTCCTCGCCGATGCGAAACACTGATCCCTGTCGATTGCGGATGCAGGATTGAGTGCGACCTCGGGACGTCCCGAACCGAGTGGAACCAAGCTGACTTGGACAAATATTACCATTAGCATATAGCATGGACTACGAAGGGAACCATCGGCGAAGAACTTCTGTGTCCCTTCGAGCAAGGAAAGCTGGAAGCCGTCATTCTAGCCTCAGGAAAAGGGGGAAGGGGATGGGGGAGGCAAAATATCAGATTCCCACTTCCCCCCATACATCTAAAAACTTGCGCGACCATATTTAAAGAAATTCCCCGCGAAAAAACCTTAAGAGACGAAAGAAGAGATTACCTGCGATAACGAGAGCAGTTGGAGTCGAAGTCAGCGGTGAATGACGGTTCGAGTCGGAACGAGCGATCACGAATTGCTTCGCAGCGGAATTCTCCCCCTTTTATGGGGAAAGGGTGTCGCAACGGAATGCGGGACCTCGCGTGACTCCGCGGAATCCCCCATAAAAGTCCCGGAATTCATGCGACGTGCGACGATTTCTCACGCCGATTTGCGTCGCGATTCCCCGGGGATGACTCGCGGAAGGCGATCGCCCTCCGACGACCCCCCGCGCGGATGCAGGTCGATTTCGCAACCGGGGCCGACATGCCGGTCGGCCTCGAGGAATTCCGACGCAACGCCGTCGCAAGGCGAACGGGAGACAGAGTCGGCAACGCTTCTGCCATGACCTCCAAGTTCGGAACGTGAAAACCGAATGCGTCCCACCGCGGGGAAGAAAACTGCCAGTTCCAGCGAAAACAACGAAATTCCCATTTATATCCTGTAGTAAAAAAAAAAATAGGGCATTTTGTACATTTGCATTCTTCGTCCTTGTATCCCCGAGAGCAGAAAGGACGTCCTCCCCCTTCGCAACTCCATTTCGCATTCCAGTCGAAACTCGCTTCCTCCCGGAAAAAGAAACCAGGGCCGAAGGTAAGCGGGGAAACAAAGAAGCCGGAAAGACGATGCACCCGTTGAATTCCACGACGCACAGTGCCTCTGATGCACGTGACGCGAGGGTATGCGTCATGGAAAAATTTAAATTTCGAAAAATGTTCAGCTGTATCGCGGATGCATATTTGCAATTGCTTTCGAGGAGTGAGGCTCCATGCTGCCGTTTGCTATGCCGCAACAGTTTGGAGGACTCGTATGATGGGCACATACAAGTGTAATTAAACAAATCACAAACATCACTAACGTGAAATTGACGCAATTTCGACATTGTTTGCAAAAAAATATATTGTTCGTGTGGACTTGGTATTTTTTTTTTTCTTAATCGACATTCCTTTTCTGAGACTCGGTGAAGCTCAAATTAGTACTCGTTTGGGTGGCTTAACTTCGATATTCAATGCGCAATATGACGGCGATGATGAAAGTGTCTACCTTCGTGAAAGTGCACTGGAAAAAGACGCAATTCTTGCCAATGTTAAAGAGGAGTTTCGACAAAGATTCTTTGAGGGTAGGGAAGACTTTTTCGCCGTTTCTCAGGTGCTGAGGCTATGTTCACCCAACGAACTCCAGGTCGGAATTCTGGATCTGGAAAAAAGAAAATGCCCCAATCGACGATATCGAGCTCCCCGACGGCCCGTTTGCGTTTCAACTCTTTCGAAAATTCTTTTTCGCCGAAGTTGAAGGAACGATTCACCAAGGATCTACAGGAAATTGGCTGAATACGAGAGAGTGCGTCGAGAACAAGGCAGACGCGCACGTTTTCATTCACGAAGAGAGATCTGGGATGCGTTCTGGAGGTTTACGAAACGCAGATGGATTCGCTAAAGGAAACACCCCATCCATGCTTGTGTATTTGGGACAAGAGGACAAAGAAACGTGGAAAAAAAATTCTATTGCACAAGTGACGATACCACATCTGGACTGAAGACAAAGAAAAAAAACAAGAGACGTAACACGCACAAAAGCTTAATATAATAGGAATGGTCTCGGGGAGAAGCCACGCTCGCAACCCCAGCGAAGCGACGACGATGAAGCCTTCCCTGCTGCTCGTCGCTCTGGTCTGCGTCGGAGCCTCCTGGGCTCATCCCCCAGCGGTAAGCAAACTCTGTCCCATCGTGTCTACGGCCGCACGCTCGCGTTCGCGTCTTTTTCTCGAGTGTCAGTGATTTAAACGAGAAATCGGAATATATCAAGTAGTTTAAATATCGAGGCTTCACCGATGAGAGGAATGAAGGTTATCGTAGTGCCCTGAATTTCCATAGCGAACGAGGCCTCATTAAAAAAATTCCTGATGCCTATTTCTTCTGATTGACCAAACGATGAAATTTGTTTCCCGTAAATGGCCTCATGAGATGTACGACATGGAATTTTCATTTCTCTAAATGAGGGGAAAAAGCGAGGCTTCGACATTTCTCGTATTCTGGTTGCTTCAATTCTGTTTCCAATAAACTACTTAAAGTATCGTCATCACATTTGAATGAAGGGGAATTAGTGCTTACCTTCATTGATCAAATGCCATATTTTTTTAAAAATACATATTGCCTGTATTTGAAATGAGCAATCTCATCTGGTTTGATTGCGAATTTGCAAACGCATCGACTTCGATTCTGTTCGCAGCGATTCCATGGGAGGAACCACTTCTTGAAATTGAACTTGGGAGACGACGAATATGTATAACTAAAAAAAAATTGTTGCAGAAAGACAGTGAAATGGATGTTCCTCCCACAATACACTGGGGTAGGTAATACAGAATGTCGTCCAAAGTCGAGAGCAATGTTCAATAGCGATAACGCGTCGTACGCTTCCATGGTTGGATCGAGTTTTCCCTTTTCGCAGGTGCTTGGAGGAACGGGAGGAAGACCGGGATTCCCTCCCTTCCATGCACGACCTGAATTTCATGGGTCAGAACACGTCGTGGAATGGGGAGGAATGTCGAAGATGGACACACTCTTCCATGATCACAACGTACTTGGGAACCTTGAAAAGGTCTGGGGAGAGTTACGGAAGCATATGACCGGATTCGGGACCATGATCCGGGTGATCCAGGCTTTCGTGGCCCAGAATCCCTGGAATTGGGACTCCGGAACCTTAAATGCATTCGTGGATGGGGTCTTCCTTCTTCCTTTCGCGCCTCCCGAGCTTCGTACGGCGGCCCGGAATAGTCTCTTTTCGAACGCCATCACCAAAGCGAACATCGACAAGGCCATCGCTGCATTCCAGGCCATCGTCAAGGTTCTTCCCGTAGACTCCGTCGTCGCCGGATGGGTGAATAATATCGTGCAGGAACTGCGGGAGAGCAAGAGCGTGACCGAGATCTTGGTTAAGATGCTGAAGCCAGGGGAGAGCGTAGATGATTACTCGATGAAGCGGGATGCAGCACTTGCCCAGCTCGGGAAGAGCCCGGGGCTGGAGGTGATGCGGGAATTCCTGTCTTACTCTGCAGTTCCAGTGCCCGATCCACGAGGTGTATACTTGGGGATGCTGCGCTGGGACTCGCAGGCATCCGTGGATGCGGGTAACACCCAGGCGCTGACCTCGCCAACTCCGGAATTGGGGGCTTTCTTCGGCACCTTCGATCCTAAAGCTTACGTCGAAATGAGACAGATCGAGGGACCGTATTTCGACCTGGCTACCGTGGCAAAAGGAGGGCAGGTTTTGGTGGTTGCCATCAGACAGGTGAATAAGACCGACGAGGCTCAATTCCAGCTCCTCCGTAGACGATACGAGAGACTTCTCGCTTCTCAAAGTGGAGTCCTCCAGATTTCCGAGTTCCAAGTCATCAGAGACAGCTTCTTGCCGAGCAACGCGGATCCGAACCCGATGAACCTGAAGGTGGGGATCGTGGTCGCACAGAGCAAGGACAAGTGGCAGTCGGCCGTGAACGCCTTGAGCAGGGATCCCGTGACTACGGCTTACTTTGCCACCTTCACCCCGGTGGCTTATCAGTATACCGTTGCAGCCTGATCCGACGTTTGATTCACAGACAAGTTCGACCCAGAAGAATAAAGTCTGATTTCATCAGAGCATATCCGCTTTTTTATTCTCGCTTGGATAGCAAGGAACTTCTTTTTACCGAAATTCGATTGCTCGTTCTGTAGTTGTAGTTAAGGTTGGCCTGGTTCTCTTAAGGCATACATTTTTGGAAATTTTTTTGTGGGTGTGTGTGTAGTATTTTTTTTTTAGCATTTCCTAGTAACTTATTGACTAGTCCCTGAAGTCAACATTGCCTCTCTTCTTGCTTGTCCATTAAATCATCTAGTTTCTTCTTAAAAATAGTCACGGAAGGGGCAGCAACTACGTCGTCGTTGCACTTGGCCAATTTCACTTGCGGGTGGGAGGAAAACTTGAGATCTTCGTCGACAGAAACTCCTAGATTTTTCTCTCCTGTTCCCTCCCCCAACTTATTCTCGCCGAAGGTGTCGAAAGACCTACTCCGTAGACGATATCAGACACTTCTCTCTTCTCAAAGCGTAGTCCTTCAGATTTCCGATTTCCAAGTCATCAGAGACAGCTTCTTGCGAGCAACGTGGATCAGAACCCGCAGAACCGGAAGGTGGGGATCGTGGTCGCACAGGCCAAGGACAATGCGGGCGATGGCGTCTTCAGCTCGAGAATTTTGAAGGTAGGGATCATCGAGGCCGAGAACATAGAAAAGTGGCATTCCGTCGTGCATAGGCAAGAAACAGAATGTTTTTGAAAGTACTGCGAGAGTCACTCTTCCTTGCCTGCGAAACAAATTCTCCTTATATGAAATTCACATCCTCTTTGGGTATATTTGTATACATATGTTACCGGGATGTGATATCACCGAAAGTATCACAAACAATTTTTCGGTTCGATACATTCCCCATTCCATTCTATTTGTATTATATCGTTCCGCTCCCGACACGAAATTAGGAAAAATATTGAATTCCCCCTCAACATTCTGAACCTATTTTCGATACATTCCAGGTCAATGGGGGCAATATGCTTTGCTAAAGAAAGGATCCACTGTAGCGAACCCCAGGGAGTCACAATATATGGGGCACGGATGCCTCGCTACTTATGGGGATCATACCCAACGTGGTCGGATGGTATTCAAGAAGGTTGCGTGTTCATGGAGATGGTAAATTAGCGACGGAGAAGCGAAGTCTCAGATCTCCGTAGACTCCAAGTAGGAAGGAAGGTACGTCCTTAGACTGAGTTGACCGGCTGTGAGGGTCAGGCTGCGTGACTCGACACGCCACGTGTTGTCCGGCCGAAGGGTCAAGATGGACTGCCGCGTAGGGCAGAGGTGAGGGCGTGAAGGGGCGAGAGGAGGTCCGCTATGGGGACTCGGCGTAGTGACTCGGGGGACACTTCCCCGCTGCTCATCCATGGGCACGAGGAGGACGCCACACCACAACGAGTTGTGCAGTTCGCATGACCAGATCTAGGATTCTTGTGTTGCGTCGGTTGTGTGATCCTTTTCAGCAACGTGCACCTTTGGGAAGCTGCGTAAAAGTCGGATTGTAAAGAGATTCTAGGTTTAAGCGCTATCGTAAAATAAAAACTAAAGAAATTCATGAAAAAAGCCGCAAAATCCGAGCAGATAATATTAATCTGGGCAGGCACCCGAGATATGAAAAGAGTGCGTCGAAAACCTGCAAACGTGCAAGTGTTCATTCACAAAGAGAGATCCGGGATCTGTTCTGGAGAAGCTGAACGACGCAGGTGGATTCACTCATGGACACACTCTTCCATGCGTGTGAAAATGGTACAAAAGGAGAAGAGAAACGCGCAAAAAAAGGTATCGCACGAGTGGCGGTACCACATCTGCACTGAAGACAAAAGGAAAATACCAGAGACGTGGCATGGGGAAAACCCTCTATATATTCGGGATCGAGTCGGGGAAGAAACCACACTCGCAACCCCAGCGAAGAGACGACGATGAAGCCTTCCCTGCTGCTCGTCGCTCTGGTCTGCGTCGGAGCCTCCTGGGCTCAGCCTCCCCCGGTAAGCAAATTCTGTCCCATCTAGTGAACTGCTCTGCATGAGTTGGCATCTTTTTAACTCGTTCTCTTCTTCGAATCTCACCGCGATTTCAACCGGGCATCTAACTCCATCCGTTAATTTAAAAAATGGAACATTCCGAGGAATGGATAGATGTGCAAATCCTATGCAACGAATTTCCGCAACAAACTAGGAGTGCAAAAAATTTCCCGTTGTAGTTCATCCTTTGAAGCTCACGATTTTCTTTTTTCGAAGATTTTATTTAACACCAATGGACAATCCTGAGTGACTGACAAATACTAAACATGCTCTAGAGATGATGAGGATGAAACTTGGTACACGAATAGTTGTTACATTGCTAACTCCAGAAAAACACCAACTTTGGGGGTGCATGCCCTGGGGGTACATTTTTTCGTGGATTCGACATCACTAACGTGAAATTGACACGATTTCGACATTGTAGTTGGAACGACACCCTAAAAACGTATTCAAGGGTTTAGGAAAGAAAGGAGGCAAGAAAAAGATAATAGGGGGAAATAAACCCAGACCTTCAACGACCCCACCCGATTTTTATGAACTTTGTGGATTCGTAGAGGTCATTGAGAATGGAATCGACACTCGTTCGGCTTCCTATTTCGTGTGGGATTTGAAATCCGACGATTCGGAAGCCTGCAGAGTAGCGGGAAATTAAAAACGCATACGATATGGAGGCCTACGCACAGCGGAGACAGGTGGAAGGGCCGTACTCGGACGTGTGGCCGAAGGGAGTCAGGTCCTGTATGGAAGCGTGAGGCGGGCGAAGGAGTCGGATGAAGAGCGGTTCCAGCGGTCTCGCCGTCGATACGAGAGACTGCTCGCCTCTCGGGCCGAACTCCTCCGCATCTACGAGTTCGAGGTCGTCGGCGACAGCCTGCTGCCGGGCGATGCCGTCTCCAGCTCGAGGAACCTGAAGGTGGGGATCACCGTGGCCGAGAATAAGCAAAAGTGGCGATCGGTCGCGAATGAACAGAAAACAGTAACTCGTTGAATGTACCTTAAAAATCGCTATTCCTGGCCTACAAAGCAGATTTTTGTCCGGTATTCCGTATTTCCCCACTTTCCAAAACCATCTCAAAGAACTTGCGTCGTGCACGATAATGAAAGCGACGCAAGATCGCCACTATGGAAAATCCAGGGCTGCGTCACTTCGCCTTCGCATCTCGGCACTCCTTAGTTGCGAAGGCTGGGAGGGAACCGAATGCATGCCTCTCCCGATCGCATGCCTCTCCCGATCGTTCTCTTGATGTCATGTCTAGTTTATGTGAAATCCACTTTGGCGGTGATAATAACAGAAACGTACATATTTTCGTGGATTCGACATCACTAACGTGAAAATGACACAATTTCGACATTGTTTGCAAAAAATATATTGTTCGTGTGGACTTGGTTTTTTCTTCTTAATCGATATTCCTTTTCTGAGACTCGATGAAGTTCAAATTAGCACTCGTTTGCGTGGCTTAACTTCGATATTCGAAGCGCAATATGACGGCGATGATGAAAGTATCTACCTTCATGAAAGTGCACTGGAAAAAGATGCAATTCTTGCCAATTTTAATGAGGAGTTTCGACAAAGATTCTTTGAGGGTAGAGAATACTTTTTCGCCGTTTCTCAGGTGCTGAGGCTATGTTCACCCAACGAACTCCAGGTCGGAATTCTGGATCTGGAAAAAGGAAAATGCACCAATCGACGATATGGAGCTCCCCGACGGCCCGTTTGCGTTTCAACTCTTTCGAAAATTCCTTCGCCGAAGTTGAAGGAACGATTCACCAAGGATCTACAGGAATTTGGCTGAATACGAGAGAGTGCGTCGAGAACAAGGCAGACGCACACGTTTTTATTCACGAAGAGAGATCTGGGATGCGTTCTGGAGGTTTACGAAACGCAGATGGATTCGCTCCAGGACACACCCCATCCATGCTTGTGTATTTGGGACAATCGGACAAAGAAACGTGCAAAAAAAATTCTATTGCACAAGTGACGGTACCACATCTGGACTGAAGACAAAAAAAAACTAGGGACGTAACATGCGCAAAAGCTTAATATACTAGAATTAGGAATGGTCTCGGGGAGAAGCCACACTCGCAACCCCAGCGAAGCGACGACGATGAAGCCTTCCTTGCTGCTCGTCGCTCTGGTCTGCGTCGGAGCCTCCTGGGCTCATCCCCCAGCGGTAAGCAAACTCTGTCCCACCGTGTCTACGGTAGACGATATCAGACACTTCTCTCTTCTCAAAGCGGAGTCCTTCAGATTTTCGATTTCCAAGTCACCAGAGACAGCTTCTTGCGAGCAACGTGGATCAGAACCCGCAGAACCGGATGATGGGGATCGTGGTCGCACAGGCAACCAAGGACAAGCCGGGCGATGGCGTCTCCAACTCGATAAACCTGAAGGTAGGGATCACCGAGGCCGAGAACAAAGAAAAGTGGCAATCCGTCGTGCATAAGCAAGAAACAGAATGTGTTTGAAGGTACTGCGAAAATCACTCTCCCTTGACTGCGAAACAAATTCTCCTTATTTGAAATTCACATCCACTTTGGGTATATCTGTATACATATGTCACCGGGATGTGATATCACCGAAAGTAGCACAAACAATTTTTCGATTCGATTCATTCACCATTCCATTCAATTTGCATTGTATCGTTCCGCTCCCAACACGAAATTAGGAAAAATACTGAATTCCCCTCAACATTCTGAACCTATTTTCGATACATTCCAGGTCAACATGCCACAGTAATCCTCTCGGCAATTCCTGAAAACAGGTTTGCAATTCATAATGGGATTTTCCGATGGTTGGGAATTCAAGCAACAATCCAGCAATGTTCTTCTTAATGGAATGAACCTCTAAGTCGTTTTCAGTTGAAATGAATCCATCCGGCTGATCGACTCTTTCAGATGGGTGGATCGGTTGATTCATGGAATGGGATTCAAGAGACTTTAAAGAGGAAACTTGGTGTTCGTCACATGGCAATCTCCTTTTTTCATAACCACTATTCCCTGTTAGAAAAACCATCGTTA